CGCCTCATTTGGCTTGGCCGGTACTCCCAGGGCTTAGGGTTTAGGGTTAATATTTAGGGTTTTGTGTCTAGGGTTAAGGGCGTTTAGGTTTCATGGGGAGTTTTAGGGCCTATAGGTATGATAGGCCTAAACCCTAAACCCTAAACCCCTGCCTGACCGGGCTCTCTTGGACGTTGCCCAACAAAAACCGAAGAAGTTAATGGGGATTTTATAGGGCTTATAGGTATTATGGGCCTAAACCATAAATGCCCTAAGCCCTAAGAAGTTAATGGGGGCTTTTATGGGGCTTGGTAGGGTTTTGAAGTTACTTGGGCTTTCCAGGATTTCTAGGGGTTTTGTCGGGCTTCTGGGGTTTGTAGGGCTTTTGGGGGGTGTATTGGGTTCATAGGGTTTATGAGGTTTAGGGTTTAGGGTATGAGGCTTACTGGGATTATTACTGGTATTATTATAGGGCTTACATGGGGTTAAGCAGGAGGGTCTGGAACCCTATAAGCCATAGTGCATAGCGCTTCTTGGAGGATGAAAAAGCTCCCTCATGGGTTGATGCCTGGCGTTGCAGGTGTTCTTTGTGTTTGTTATCTAGGTACTCTAGGTCATATGGGGTCTTATAATGATAATAATAACAATAATAACCTATACTATTTGGGGGCCCCTCATTATAATTATAGTATACTGGACCCCAAAACCCTATTCTAATATTCTTAAGGCCCCTATATTACTAAGTTGTCTTTCTCAAGCATAGGGTCAGGGTTTCAGGGCGTAGGGTTTACGCGGTATGTCACCGCACACAACAGCAGCACATGCCCTGCAGGCACACGCACCAACCCTAAGGGTCCATGTACCCAAATAGTATATACATTGGCCCTAAAGTGCCTATATAGGGACTACATTAAGGCCAACGTATATACGATTTGGGTGCATGGACCCTTAGGGCAACACAATGTCCGAGGCAGAGACTTCTCAGATGCGTGCGCGTGTCAAACCGTTTTCTTCATGCCGTAACATGACTACAACAAGAACTTATTCGATAAAGGTCGCTATAAGGCCGCTAACAAGATTACTATATCGGTGTTACTATAAAGGTTACTATACTGATCTGGGCTGACCTTGTCCGCGCTTTCTGGATCCAGACGTTGTGTCTTGGAGTTTACAATGTCGCATTCCTGAAGCCTAGAATTACTAGGAGAAGCCGACGGACCCCGCTCTAAAGGCAGGTTTTCTTCTTACTTGCACGATCGGCCGATCGGCGAGGTGCACCACTATGGCAACGGCCGTCGGCACAGGAGAAAAAACTCGGCCATAGACGGAAAGTCTTGACACTCAGCCCAGAATGCCAAACCCTGCACCATCAAAACATACATGCACCTGAGACATAAATTGAAAACATGTCAATCCATCAAGCCTACTAAACCGAGCCTTAAACCTCATGTGGAGCAGCATGTCGGCGCTGTTGCCATGAAACGGATCCTGCTGTGCAGCAGAGCTCAACTAGAGGCGGCTGGACTGGCAGTCAAAGGTATGAGGACCTCACGCTTTTTCGGGGTGCTACGGTTGATGATACATATCCCGCATTACCCATAATAAGGAAAATACCATTATTCTCATAAGTTTAGGGTCCTGAAGGCAAGGCTAAGGATTTATATCATCAACAGTAGGGCCAGGGCTTTCCATCTGGTAGTTGCAAGCAGGCTCCGGGGCTTAAACCCTCGCCGCTAGGCCCCCAATAGACCTTTAACTTCGGTTTAGGGTTTAGGGTTTGGGGTCTAGGGTTTAGGGACCCTAACACAAGGCAATTGTTCAGGAGTAGATAGTGCCCTTTTTTCGCTTCCTGTGTTGAAGTAGTATGAACAAAGGTACCCACATTATTAAGGGGCTACTGGGGAGCCAAGATGTCGATCGTGGGCTCCGGCTGCTGTTATTCGGGCTTCCGTATAGGGTTGAGGTCTAAGGGTTCAGGCCGTCCCTGAGGGTTTTGGATTCGAGGTGCGAAGCCTTCGTGAGGACATCCCAAGTGCATGAGTGTCCCGACCATCCCTCGATAGAACCCCAAGCCCTGAACCCTGAACCCCGAACCGTGGAAAGTAGGGGATTTTCCGGGCACATTGGGCTACTTGAGCAGCTTTCACGTCATGGATCCTACGATACACCCCTTAACTTATTAAGACCCTGAGGGCCCGTGTACCCAAATAGTGTATATACTTTGGCCTTTTTTGTCGTCCATATACAAGTACTTTGGGCCGAAAGTATATACTGTTGGAGTACATGGACCCTTAGGGCATTCGGGATCCTCACTGTAGCATTGAAGGGGTTACTCTAAGGGTCCATGTGCCCAAATAGTATACACTTTGGCCCCAAAGTACCTTTCTAGGGAATACTTTAAGGCCAAAGTATATGCTATTTGGGCACATGGACCCTTGGGGTTAACCAAAAGCGGTCCGGAGATTTTGGCACATTAGGCCCAAACCCCTAAACCTCAACCCTGAACCCCTTATGCGGTTCCTTGTGTGGTGGTTACCTTGTACGACCCGAAATATGAAGTTGGTTTAACCAAAAAAGGGAATGGCAATGGAGACTACAAGTAGACCCCCTTTTCTAGAGCCCATATTTCCCGAGACCTTAAACCCAAACCCGACAAAAACCCTAAACCCCAAACCCCTAATACTACTCTTGATGATCGAAATCCTGCATTACCTTAAGGACCGTAAACTATGGGAATTATGGTACATTCCTTATTGTGGGTCATGCAGGATTTAGATCATCAACCGCAGAACCTATATTTCCTCCCAAGGCCTTCAGACACAGCAGTCGGAGGGCCGCTGCTACCGTGGTGGCCAACAGGTTCGCCTTCGCTGCTGGGCAGATCCACAGGGTTCTTCTCCGGGTTTAGGGTTTAGAGGTTTAGGGGTTTAGGGTTTAAAGTTTAGGGTTTAGGGAAGTGTATGACATAATATGGTCCCATTACACTCCTTGGTTTGGGGTTACCTACAGTGAACAGATCTTTGTTTACAGTCTTTTGTTTAGGATGGAATGCACCGCAAGTTACAGGATTTCGATGGATTACACATAGTGTTGTGTGTTTCATGTTGCTCGTTGCATCGCCATGACTATCTAGCGATGAGGCTTGGATGGTGGGTGCTGATGTGTGGTTTACCCTAATATAGTAACCTAAATAGTAGGGTCCTTTTTATAAGGACCCCAAAATACGGTACCCCTTATTTTCGGAAACTTCCATGTGGCTGTTTAGCTGCTGCGCCGCTGGGACAGGTCTCCGCACTCTAAGGACATTCGGGCACAAAGGTCACATTGTGTCGGGTTTAGGGTTAAGGGTGTAGGGTTTAGGGCTTAGGGTTTAGGATATTTAGAGATTGATTATACAGGCGCGGTACTGCCAGCTATCGCAGCTTCTTCATCAGCTTGGCTCGCGGAGCCTAGGCACGAATTCATGGCATCCTTCATGTATACCCAAAACGCGCGAGCTCTGGAGTGAGGCAATGGCCGTACATCATAAGGGGCATGGGGCCATCTAGTTTTTGTGGTTTTGTATCGAGCCGTAACCGCCTTCCGTGAAGATGCCACGTCTGGCGACATGTGCTTTCCAAAATGCGCAGATTGGAAGAAGCCAGTAAGGCTGAACCCTAAACCCTAAACCTCAAGTTATTCAGCACTATCTGACCAAGCCCTCATCCCCAATACACTGATAGTCTAAGCCCGAAGCTATCCGAAGCTTGCACAAGTATTGTGATTCTATCCAGGAGTTTTGGGTTGTCTGAGGTCGAGGGTTGTTGATGGCTCAGGAGAAGCGCGACATATTGTGGGGCAAGAGCCCTGGCAGAACGGCCCTTCTCAGTTTCAGGTGTCGGACAGAGCCGCGAGTAGTACTTGCCCAAACCCAACTCCTAAACCCAAGACGCAAAACCATCACTTTAAATCCTAAACCCTAAGCTTTAAACCCCAAACCCCCAAGCCTTAAATCCGAACCCTTAAACTTTTGGTGATGTTTGCAACTTCAGAGGTCGCAGATTTCGTGGCTCCCTGAACCCTAGGACCTTGCGTTGTCCTGAAGGCAAGAACCCTGGGTTTAGGGCTTTAGGTTAAGGGTTTAGGGAGAGTAGCCCAGTATTAGCCTTATCCAGACCCCAATTCAGACTGAACAGTGGGAACAATGCCTACATGTCAAGCCCTAAATTCTTTGGAAGTAAAGTCGCTGGCGAACTTAAGCCTTAGGCGCTGGAGCCCCAGATGAGCTTCTTGAGGCTTAGCATGCGCATCCCTTCCAAACAACACTGCCCCAGAAAACTGCACATGTCATCGGTGATTGAAGCGGATTCTTTGTGTTTTCATTCTTGTTTTGCTGCTCTACATATCATATTATATTATACTATACTATATTCTATTCTATTCTATTATATACACGCATATGAACATACATACACATAGTTTTTGTTGGGGGTGTTGGGGGATGCGGTGGGTTGTCTAAGGTTTTCGGATCCATATGGAGTTTGATGTTGAAGGTTCAACTGTTAGGAATTCGAAGTTTTACTAGATTGAAAGTACCCTCGTTAGACGACACCAAACATGCATCTACACACATTGACATGCACGCGCGCACTAACACACAGGCTTGAGCAGGCATGTGCTTTATGGCTTTACCAATGTCTTTTGCCAAGGGCTTTGTTGCTAAACCAACGAGTACTCGGTAACTAGGCCAGTGCGTGCAAGAGCTCGCTGAGACGAAGATAAGGTCCGGGCGGCCAAGAGAGCGTATCTTAGTATCTTGTTCCTTTGGCAACTAATGTAGGGGCCTTAATAATTAGAATAGGGTTTTGGGGGGTTCCTTATTATAATTATAGTAGAATATCCCCAAAACCCTGTTCTAATTATTAAGGCACCTACATTAACTTCTAACTTCTAACCGATGTCCGGAAGCTAAACCCTATAGTAGAGCCTTTTGATCCTTAGAGATCCTCATAGTCTCTGATAGATCCATGAGCCCCCCTCAGGAGCGACAAGAGTTCCAAGGGAAGCTGGGATGCGCCCATCGTGGACGTGCTCGACCGGCTGAATGTGGAGGAGGACTCCTTCGGGGAAGCTTCGGGGCAGGTTTAGGGGAAGGAGCAATTCTAACAATTAAGTCGTTATGCTAAGAGTAATGCTATTGGTAATTCTAATAACAAAAGTACTAGAACTACTAACCCCTTCCCATGATTAATAAACCCCCCTAATATTAAAACTGCCGCCCCCGGGATTTTGCGGTTTCGGGCCCACAACTGAAAGTTAATCAAAAACCGAAAGGACCAGGGCTTTAGGG